ACTGTCATTTATGGCTTTCATTGTAGATCACGTTCCCCCAGTGGGCCCTGCACTGTTGAGGTTAACTGTATCTACACACAATGTCAAAAGAGCAGATAATTATAAATTCACTTAACTCTAAAGTTAGTATCTTTAACTAGGGGTGTAGACTGAGTGATGATAAGACAATGATGTTTTCCCCTTCCAAGCATGTAGTAAAAACTACAACTGCAGCAAAACTCGTGAAAAAGGTTAAAGGCCCTATCTAGGGCCACTGTTTGTCTGTTCTGGGCTACTGTAGTGTCTGTAGAAGAGGACCCGCTCCCTCTGTATATAAAAATTGATCATTCTAAGGTAACAAAAACACAACCATTCTTACCTTCAGGTGATTATGCTCAACATACCTACCTAATATTATATTCCATTTCTGCCAAAAGATCCTCCTAAGTGTTACACAATAAACAACGTGACGTGTTTTCAACTGACTTGATTTTATAATGTTTCTCAATCCATAAAGGAACATTTAATCTTAAAGTTAAATCTGAAAACTTAAAAAGAAATCACTGCATACTGGACAGCTACACTGGGAATAAATCACTAAAAATGAAACATTACAGCATACAAAGATTTCAAGATCTCCTTTAGTGTAGTTTTATATCATTACATTTATTCCAAGTAACAAGCAGAGTATTCAGCAAATAGGAACTTACGTCCACAGGTTACACTATACAAGAGTGAAACACATCAGGCTCTTAATATTTCCTACTGAAATTGCACTAGGGAGCCGGAAATGAATCATACAACTACTCTGTGGTGCAGCCTCAACCGGAAGAACACGCTTACAGACCAGTGTACTGTTGCTGAGTGATTTGTAAGTGAGTAGAAAGCTTTTTGTTTTTGTTACGTGAAGGCACATTTTAGTTCCTTCTGATTCCACTGAATAAGACAGTAAAACATAAACTGATAAGAAAATGCAAATAAAGCCTCCTGAAATTGCTTTTTCTGACTAGTCATTTGTAGGATAGTAAGACACTGGTGTGTGTGTGTATGTGTGAGAGAGAGTGAGTGTGTAGTCATGCCATTGAGATTTCATGTGGAGATAAGAAGTCTTTTGTTTGGGGTTTAATCTGACCAATCCTGGGCTCCCCCACCCATTTCCCTTCTCCCTCACTGCCTCCACTGATTCCATCCTTCCTCCCTCACTTTGTTCCTCTCCTTCAATTACATCCCCTCACCTCCCTTTATTTCTTCACTTTTTACACTCTGTGTAGCAGAGTAAGAGTTTAATCCACTGTAACTGTAACCAACTGTATGTAGAGGCAGTAGCAGTAGTATTAGCAAGTTATACCACACAACTTAAGTGGTCCTGATCAAATTAAACTGTGTATTAAAGGGTGCATTCAGAAAAACAGACTCCTCATTCATTTAAAAGTTAATCAAACCAAATCGTGGCCTAAATTACCATAATTGCATTAAGTCACTGAAGACTAATAGGGGATTTCATCACTTTTTAAAAAGTAATGACGGTAAGAAGTTGTTTTTTTCCACCATTCAATGTCCCACAAAAAAAACGGGCTTAAGATGCATACTCACGGTTGACCCTCCAGGAATCTCTCTTTCATGCACACACACACAAGAGCTATTATCTTGTCACTGTTAACATGAGATGGGCTGGCTGTCTGGGAGTGATTAGTGGCCGTGAAGGGTTTAAAGGCATGTGTATGCTCGTTTGGTTTCTCTATGTGTGTGTGTGTGTGTGTTGTATTGTGTCCGATAGACATTCTCCCACACTCTTGCCCTGTGGGACATAGGAAAAGCAGGCAGATGGCTGTATTCAGGTCCACCACGGGTCAACATATGGCCCCAAGAGACAAAGTTTGTGTTTGTGTGTGTGTGAGACAGAGAATCTCACTCTTACTATGCATGAGCGGAGGAAGTTGAATGAGTAGGCAGGGAGGAAAAAAGGTAATAGTGGGGGCAGAAAAAGAAGCGGTGAGATAAAGAAGTGGGATGATTTGAGAGGGTGAAAGTGGGCGGCATCCTGTGAGATCATACAGTTTGGTAAATACAGCCACTTGTTGTGTGCTCTAAAAAGTCCTGGCCTTTTGAGGCAGTTTATTCTTTATTATATCACTAGAGCTACATGTACAGACTTTTAGTGTAAAACATTCAAATAGGAACTAAAATTACCAACAGAATCTAAAGAAATAACACTTTTGACGTTATGTCAAAGACTGCTGAGATATGTAGTTAGCATGCTAACCAGACTCAGATCTCTGGTGATATGCTGCCCCCAGTTTGTTTGAGTAAGAATTTAACAGGTGGCCAATTCTTCCATATCACTTTTTTTTATACTGCAATTCATTTTGGAATAAAACATAGAAGTTTATAAAATTAAAATAAAAGAAATTACTGGTTGGTCGAAAGTAGGAGCTTAAAGTCAAATCACTACCTCTTGACTAAGTTAACGTAACACAGCTGATTTTTTTACTAAGTAGGGCTAGCCAGCAAATAGGAAGCTAGCTAAAAGTTAACCTAGCTAGTTAGCCAGTCAGCTAACCACTGATGTTTTAGGTGAATTAGCTTAATGACTGAGCTACTGCTAGTTAACCTAGCTTACTGCTACTTTACTAAAATAACACAACCGATAGCATCCTTCTGTTAGCATTCAGGTAATATTGGTTTTTTATGTTTATTATTTCTCCAATATCCGATTTGGAAATAACCATTTAGTGCCAACATTTAGTCGGCAAAACTGATGCGACAAAAAACATAAACTTTGGCCACTGATATGTCTTCTTATTTACTTACAGGCCGTCTTATTTACTTAGAGGCCGATGTCAGTCAACAAGGCTAATTGGTGGTTCCCTAAACTGTACAGATTGTTCAGTTTACTACTAAAATATATTGCTTTGGACTCCAGTTTAGTATGTGATTTAAATTTAAAACGACCAAATTATCTGGGTTCAAAATCGATTCTAAATGGCATTTCAGTTTATTTTTCCCTACAGACTAAAGTGTGCTGAAGGGAGCTGCTTTCAGGAAACCTAACCCAGATCAATAGTCTCTGTCAACTCCTCACACTACAAAAGACTTCAGCCAGGCTCTGTGGACAGTGTTACAGAATTTTAGCAAGTCATCAATTTAGGAGAGTGAATGCTGGTTTTACTTGCACCCTCCCCTGCCTCCTCCCCAACACCTCCTTTCTTTCTTCTAGCCCCTGAACATACCCCTCCTCTCCTCCCTCTCCCCCCCCTCCTTTGCCCTGCTCCATCCCTCCATTCACCGCTCCTCTTTGTGAGTGTGTCGGTGATATTGTGATGCAGGGTGAAGCAGGAGGAAGGGGAGCACAGCTGTTGCTGTTGCTGAGCTCTCCCCATCATCCCTCAATTTCACTCTCTCCGATTCCCTCACTCCATATTGTTCCTGAGACTTTCACGCGCACACGAATTTAACGTCCTCACTTTTTCCCTCTCCTCACCATCACACCTTCATCTTTCTCTTTTCCTACACTGCTTCCTCTCCGCCCCCTCCACTCTTTCCACCTCTAATAAACTTCTCTTGTCTACTATTCATTTCCCTCCAGCCTCCTGTAGAGGTTCTTCATTCTCTTCATCTCATTCCTCTTGCCCACTCTCTCAATCTCACCCTCTCCTCCTCCACCGACTACAATTCTGCCCCCTCCCAGGCTTTCTTTCTAATCCCTCCTTCTGATTTTTTCCCCCTTCTTTCCAGAGAGGATTTGGGCAAAGTGTTAAATGGGTTGCAACAAATGGGCTATAGTCAGGTGCTGCCCGTATACGCAGATGCCTAACTCAATTTTCCAGACTGTTTTCTTCTTTTTCTCAGCATTCCCACAGTTGTATAGACGTTCCAAAAGCCACAAATCTTGCTGTCACATATGACGCACTATACAGATCAGCAGGGGTTGAGTGGCAGTCTATTTATAACCAGGGATCTTATTTAACTTTTCTTGAACTCTTAAGCTCATTCAAGAACTCTTGTCTTGAGGACCTCCGTACTGCGGTAAGGACATAACCCAGTACAAGTGCCAACTCAAAATTCCAGACAAAAGGAGTTAGGAATATATTAAAGCGGTAGTCAAACCATGTTGCACAGCAGAAGCTGAGGTATCATGACTTTTAGTCCCAAGCACAGGTAACGCTGGAGCCGACATTTCCCATTATGCAACTCTTATTAACTCCATGCCACCTGTTTGTAGTGCACTTTTTGTACAAATATTTAGCTTCCACGCAAAAATAACCCCAATGACATCACCAGAGTTCTTTTCTTAGACTTCAAAATACTCTCTCAATGAACCACAGACGGCATTTTACAACTGTTTTCACAGGCCGATTGGAACTCCCCATGACGAGTAAATTCTTCATGTGTAAAATTGGGAAAGTGCCTCTTTAAGATGTAGTCCAAGCCATTCTCTTTCTCTCCTCCCACTATTTTATGTCAACTATTTATGCTCCGTGATGGGGTTTGTGAACAAACAGTTGGGTGGCTATTTTTGGTGGAAAGTTAAGAGCTTCTAAACAGATGTGGTAACATTGTTTTGTAGCAGAAAGAAATAAAACAGTTGACACACGTTATTAAATGAGGCTCTACCAAAATGTATCTGCAGTACTAAAAAAATTATAGAATCCAATTATTAAATTACACTTTTAGTAATATATATATAAGCATAAATCGGTTCCATTTCTTTAGCCAAACTTTGCTTTTCAGGATAGCTGCCTGTATATTACCTGCAGTGTTTTAACTCAAGAGGATGTCAAGATTTACTGTGCAGTTACCTAAACTTCATTGTCCACATGAGTTGGCTCATTTATGATAAAAAGCCATTACGTCAAATATATAAAGGAAATACTGAGGCTAGGAGTCCTCCTTATATGGTAAAACACACAACGTGGAAGCATGTTGTGTACTATATAGACTAATGAGTGCGGTAAGAGCAAATATAAAAAGTAGCATCCACAAGCCCGAGCGAGAAACACACTGGGAGCACTTTAAATGGATAAAGTTACATGTAACGACCTTTATTTTGTAAAACTATTACACTGATGGCAGTGGAATACTGGAACACAGTCAAGGGTACTTTATTAGAGCAGAGACAAAAATAAAAGCAGACTGAGCACCATAGTCCATCAGCGACTGCAATACTGTCAATGTGGCGCCATAGCAAAATGTAAATACAGATATTAACCCTCTGGATTTTCATTAAAGTGTAAAATATTCTACCAAATATGATGGTGGATCTGACTGAGCCTGGGTAAGCGTACGGTAAACCCTAACTAAAGGTTCTCTTGAAAAGTTACAGTTTAAGCCTTCTGGGACAAAACTTTTGATAGTGAATATCTCAGAAGTGCAGTACGCTCACATACAGTAGGACCTCTTAATGCCAAGCTCATGATATGGATCAACAACATGAAAGAAAAATTAATAACTTAAGCAGGGATGATGGGAAATGGACCTGCTGTTGCTGGTGTACACAGTGAAATGTGTTGTTATGCAGTAATAAAGAGGAGAAAAGGCAAAGTAACACACACTATTTACATAAGAACATTATAACTAAACAGTTCTCTTAGGAATTAAACTACCATGTTGGAAAATAGAATGAATTATTATATCAATAACAAATATTTGAAGAATTAATGGAAGACGCTGTGGTGACAAAATATTTCTAATAACTTCAATGTCATTTTGTCAAACAAAACATCATGCAAATAAATACACAAGGGCGTTTTTCATGGCACTGAATAGCCCAGTTAGTTCAACTATGGGTTCTCATTTCTCCCAGACAAACACTGGGAGTACGTGAAAACGATAAACTAGAGGTTTGAGAGAACAAGCTAGAACTGAATTGGAGACACTGGACATAACTTGCCAAAATGGTGAATCGGGAAACTGGTAAAGCAACAAACATGAAAACGACAGCTTTATGTGGCCCTCTTGTGGCACAAAGAGGCAACAGCATCTACCAGAGAGGTGAATTTCATAATCAAGGTATCATTGTGTTGTGTTCTCGTTCAACAGACCTTCTTTTTGTGGTGTTGAAAATGAAAAAAAAATAAAATAAATAAACAGCACATACGTACGGCCTCACAGCTCTTGTAGGATTCATATTTGAGGAGACTTTTATACAAAGCAAGGTGTAAATGTAACCCAGATATCCATGTGAAATTATTAGCCTTAAAAACATGATTTAATCACATTTGCATTTTACTGTATGCTACTGTAAATCTCAATACAATATGTTCACATATCAATGCTGTACGAAGGACAACAAATGTACATCTTGGTACAAAAACAATAACCTATAAGCTCACTTTGAGTGGTCAACTGTGACATGGCTATAGAGAAATACAGACTGATGCTCACTAGGTAGATGCCACTTTCAAATTTGTAGAAAAGCCAGGCCTTGAAACTGTTATAATATTTAATAACATATAATTAAACTAAAGTCTCCTGTACCAATGACTCATTCTATATTGGCATTTTGCCTTCAAATTAACCGACTGACTGAATTTAAACCAGCATTCATGAAACACCCAGCTCCTAAAGGCAATCTGCTACAAGGCAGAGCAAAGCACTAGGAGCTGGTTACAGCTGCTCAGTGTGTCCGCACAGAAACAAGTGTTGAATAATAAATCTGATGTGCCAGATGTAATGATTTTCAAAGGCTCGCTAGCTATTATTTGGATGGATGCTAAACTACAACGTATGGCTGTTGATAGTCCTTAAATAGGAAAACAAAGGACGTCTTATCTGAAATTCCGCTGATTTTTTTTAATCATTTTCAATATTTTTTTAGTAAGCACTCTCCTCTCGATCTGGGGACTTAACACTGCAACACATTACAAACAATACTACATTACCATGTGATTCACTATACATTCATATTCACAATATTGTATTCACAGCCACTGACAGTCAATATTTCTTTTCAATCGGTCAAGGCCAGGCGCCGCTTATTTAGTGAAAACTTAAGTTGAGAACTTCAATATTTCTAATTATTCAATTTGCTCCAATGGAAAATAACGTCTATCAAAAACCAAGATGCCAAAAAAAGCAATAAAACAAATCTTGTTCTGTATCAGAGTACCACAGGTAAAGGATAAGCCCTGGCTAACCCTTTTTTGCCCAGTCAGGGGTACCTGGTTGTCAGCAGAACCTGGCGAGTCCTGTTTGACCCAGTTGTGGAAAATCATGGTGGTGTTTGATTCTCTCTGTGGTTGATCAGGACAGAACTACTATCCTCTCTTTAGGATTAACAGACCCCCACAGGGTCCTGTTCATCAGCACCAGGGTAGCAGAGAGGGTCACGTCAAAACTTTTGGATCACCACCTGGAACTTACCTGGCAAGAAAAAAGAGAAAGGTAAACCATAATGACACTTCACCATTAGCAGTTAACAGTATGGCTTCTATTAGCCAATGAGCATGGTCCCACAATAAAGAAACTCATGGATTGGTATTCTGATAGTACTTACAGGATGGCATAACAGAGACCTCCGCCGTCACCACGCTGTCCATGCCTAGGTTAGACAGAGCTCCTCTCACAATGCCACAGGAAAAAGCAAGGTACTGAGAGAAAACACACACAGACATGCATACACATTAGCTTCAGCAACAATGAGATTGATTCTAATTTCTTTCGCTGCATGTCAAAAATAAGAACAGTTCTGTACAGTTTTCTTATCTTTATTTATTTATATTTTAAAAGTACACTTTTTTCTGTGTGATTGTTGTGTGATTTGTATATTTGTGTGTGACTGTATATTTTATGCACTACTGCACCAAGATGAATTCCTCGTATGTGTAAAAACCTAGCTGGCAATAAATCTGATTATGATTCTGATTCTCTTTGTGTGTGTGTGTGTGTGTGTGTGTGTGTGTGAGAGAAAGGGAGTGCATACTAACCTTAGGAGCCTGATCCAGGTACTGTTTTCCACTGGAGAGCTGAGTCAGCAGAGAAAACTTGTTGTCCTGCAGAACATAGGTGCCCTATGGCAGAGAACAAACGCATGTATAGAAACAAACAATTTCAACACTGAATAGGCTTTTAAATATTTACATTTCTTAAATTTTGTTAATTATTAATTTAGCAAGACTTCCTGTAGTCTAAAAGGGATTTAAGTAATCTATGACCTTGGCTGAGTTTATTAAAGATTTAAGGACCAGTGTGTAGGATTCAGTGGCATCTAGCGGTTAAATTGCAGATTGCAACCAACTGACTACAGCTCAGCCTGTGTAGGAGACATTACTGTGGCAGTAAAACTAAAAGCACTATCTAGAATCAGCATTCACTTTGTCCGTTCTGGGCTACTGTANNCTGTACTTGTAGACCATAATGATCTGAGATCCAAATTCCTGTTGGTGGAAAGATGACTGATCTGAAACTGAGCCTGTGAGACCAAAAATCTCAGTGAATGGATAAATAATTGTGGCTTCACAACAACACTCTCAACATACATTCAAAAGCGTGGGGAGCCTTCAATTTCTCTTTGACAGCAGTCCACATATTGTTACTCTACACTTTTATTTTACCTGATGGTTTGTCCGGAGGTTGTCAACCTGCCTCCTGAACACCTTTGTCCAGAAGTCTTTACAGACGAACTTCATTACGTCCAGCTCATCCTTGAAGCTCGGAGAGTCCCTCGTCAACCTAGAAAACACCCAAAGACATTTCACCTAAATGAGGACGCATGCCACACAGCATTTACTGTTGCGCTTATATAATGCGTGTGCTCTTCTACCTCTCAATGAGTCCTTGTCCCACCCTGAAGCCCATGCTTTCAAGGACAGAAACACAGACAGCTCTGTCCTGAAGAGAAGAAATGCAAGCGGTTTATTGGCACAGTGGACAAGAACTAGCTTTATATGTGATGTGTTAGTATGGTGTGTCCTATACGCTACAATATTGTAATGTAATGGTGAGCTATATATATATAT